AGTTCCCCCATCCAACCTCTAAAATAAAATGTGCAAGTGCAATTTTAGTGGTCAATTTTTAAAGTTGTTACACAAGAAAACAAGTAAAATTGTTACTGTTAGTAAACTTTTGCAAAATTTGCTTTTCAAACGCTTTTGCAAATCAATAAACATATAAAATTTCAAACCACAAAAAAAAAACAATACATTTAATGATTTTGTGAATTCTTAAACATTGACAATGATGCCCCCCTCCCTAAAGCAAACCCTTTGTTTACAAGGAACATGTGGAAAGTCACATATTAAAATAGAAAATAAATCAAATGCCTCTACAATGATTTTTTTCCTGAAAAAAATTAAAAATATAGGTATTGGTTCTTGTGTCTGCATTTGCCTTCAGAGTTCTTTGACCCATATTTTTGAAGGTGGGTGGGTAGGTAGCTTATTAGGTAACCTTTTTTTTCTAATTCAATTGGTAACTGTCACAAAAAAATCACAGACTCAGAAATTTATTAATGTTTTCAATACACACCTGGTCCAAATAAGTAGACAGTATTGATATTTATTGCTATGAAAATTTTTCAATCTACCACAGTAAAAGCATCCCTGAGAAATTATATACCTTAGCTTCAAAATGAAAGAATATCCATTTCTATAATGTCTATTGGAACTAAATTTTAAAAATTAAAGTGCTGAAAAAGTGATTGGAGTAGGGGTGATTTTGATGGATAGGTCTAAATACATCAAACAAAAAATATTTTATTGTTGGCCCGATCATTCATATTGATAACTCATAGTAAACATGCCATGTTGGTAAAATGGTGTAATACACTCATATCTTATGTATAGATGATAAAAAAGACTGACATCTCAAGTCAGTCAAGGAAAATAAGTAACTACAGATATGATGCACTGTTGATTACAAATAAAGCTTTTTAAAATTACATTTTGATGCAAGTTAATAGGGCTGGGCAATAATATCGATATTTCAATATATTGCAATACAATGACAAAAAATATCGTATCGCAATACAATTTTGTAATAACGATATATTGGCAATATGCTTAAATTAAGGAATTTTGTCATTAAATATAAAAATGGACTTGTGAATGTTAGTTATTAAGCCAAACATTAAGACAGAAGTTGTTTTGTGGGAGCATTTCAGAGCATAACTTAAAGAAATCAACAAGATTTTTTTCCTTGTAGGTTATTTATCTTGATTATGTACATTCTGCGTGTAAATGAAAGTAAATATAGTGAAAAAATGCCATTTTTATTACGTTGAAAATATTGCAATACATATCGCAATACAGTTCAAAATACCGCAATATATCGCAATACGAAATCTCCGGCCAATACCCAGCCCTACAAGTTAATAAAAATACCTCATTATCAATATATCAATCAAATTATTGATCATAAGAGCTCCTGATATGCATATCACATTGCCATGTATGCATTGATATGTGTAGTAATACTAATAGTAATACCCAGGTCTTATTTTAATCCTGATCAATATTTGAAAAGATGGTTCAATTTTAATGTACTTATGAATTATGGTACATAAAATGTGTACTTTGTTTTCTTGCATGAAATACAAAGTATAGTTAAGTGGCAGCCCCCCCCCTTCCCCCCACACCCCCACTTATACACATGCTATTTATCCTAAAATAAGATACCCACCAATCTTTTTCAAATGTAGAGTTTCCAAACAGACTTGTCGAAATTTTTTAATCACTGTCAGACATTTGGTCTGACAAAGTCGAATGTTTTGTCAGACCAGTCAAACTTCTGTCAGACCAGATACTTGTACCTTATTTTGATGCTGGTAAAATCATATGAATAACAGCACCAAAATGTCCTTTATTATTTTCAAAAGCCTTCAATCTAACAAGTTTCCTTTCTTGGGATAGAGAGTCTTTAACATAGACATAAATGACAAGTTTTATGACTTTGCTATAACAAATTAACTTAGCTATCGTCAACATGCTGCGTACGCGGCCATTTTTTCTGTGTTTGTGACATTGAACTTCACATCCCGATCCCGACCTTTATTAAATTGGCATTACGCTCAATTTTTTTTCAAATGGTCATCTAGACCGACGGATTCTTAAAAGTTATCGGTCTAGACAAATTCTTACTGGCCTTGCCGACAGGACCGACGAATTTCAACAAGTCTGTCCAAACATTTTACTTTTTGGCTGGATCCCACTTTGAAAACAATGCATTGTACCTTTAGCACCATTGAAAACAATGCTTTGTATCTTCTCCATCATTGAAAACAATGCTTTGTACCTTTGCATCATTGAAAATGATGGACCTGATTCAGCTTTCTACACTTTTCTAAATCATTAACATGATTAAAGATAAATTATAACACTTTGGATTTTATGCAACATCTTCATTTATATACAAATTGATAATTTTAATAATAAAAATTATTATCATGTTGTATGAATCTTGGTTACAAGATGACATGCCTTTTTGGTTGTGATAAGATTTTTCAAATAATACCACCAGTATTAAACTTACACCAGCCTTGTTTTATACATACTGGGGAACTTAAAGTGACCTAAGCATATATAAAAACTCAACAGAACTTAGGACAAGTAGTACTCCTTTATAGGTTCAATAAATCATCAACAAAGAAATCACATTTAAAATGCATCATGTTAATAATGGCTTCAATATTTTTTCTTTTATTTGGGAACCTACAGCTATAAAATCAACATTCACTCATCAAATAAACTTAACATTTCCAATGCAAGAGGGATATAACATTTGCATATTCATTATCATTCATGCTGGAGAAATCAATAATAAAGAAATGTGCGGCATCTGGTGAGCGATGCATATGCCCTAAAGAGAGGTTAGGGGTTGGGAGGCGAAACCACTTGACAGAAAATAATTATATCGTTAAAATCAATATACCTTTTACTGGTAATTATGTCTTCTTAAGAATCTTTGCAAAGTTTAAGTTACCCGCAATCTGTCTGCTTTTCATAAAATTTCCCGGATGTATCTTCGTGGCAAAAGGTAATGATTAAATCTTTCCATAACTTATTCGACATCCAGATCAAATAAAATTGCAAAAATACAAATTTTATTCAAAAATATTTTTGGAAATTAATTGACAATAAAACCTTAAAAGATAAACACTTTTAACTATTATCTAGATTAGACCATTAACTTAAAAAAAATATTATTCCGGAACTCGACATCGTACACTTTTTATTTACCTTTCGCAAGCTATTTCCAGTTAAAATTTAAGGAAACTCGGGTTGAAAACTTCCAAAAAAAGTTTCTAAGGTGTGACCTTTGTCTTAAAATTAATTAATTTGACTCATTTCAACGACTCATAATTGATGGTGTGTAAATTCTTTAAAATGAATATTCTATCACGAATAATTTTGGCAAAGTCAGATTTCAGAATAGACAGGTCTATTGACTCTATTCTCATATTGAGAAGTCGATGGCTCGTTTCAATACTCCCCCTCAAGGAGGGGGAGGGGTATTGAAACGAGCCGTCGACTTTTCAATAGAGAATAAGACATTTCTAGCACAAAACCCTGAAAAAAAAACTTTAGGTATATAGCTTGATAAACAGGTCCAGGAAAATCACTATATTCAGCTATATAGGTAAATCTACCTATATAGCTTTATTTACCTATAAAATATAGCTATATTTAGCTATTTTGGAATAAGTGTCTGTTTTATGAAAAGCAGACAAAAAGTCGCATAATGAGGCAGTATTAGTTTTCAACTTTGAAATGGACTGAAAACAATTCACCAAAAACCCACTGTAACGTGAAGCGGTCACCCATCCAAGGGTTAAACAGGCTCGCCGTTGCTTAACTTGCCTGAAATAGAGGGAGACTCTACCACATCACCAGAAAAGCTAGCTCACTGGCGAGGCAGTACAAGTTCCTTATATACTGTCCACTACACTTCCCCCCGCTCAGGGAAGCTTCGACCCAAAGCTTAGCATGAGTTCTCTCTGAGTATCTGGGCCTCTTCAGCTACAGCAACCAATGCCGTTCCCGGACACGAAGTCCGTACTTGGACACAAAGTCCTAGTCTTAGAGCTTCCTGAAGTAGGTCAGAACCTGACTTCAGATACGGCAACCCCTGCCGTCCACAGACACGAAGTCTGTATATGGACACTAAGTCCTAGCTCTAAGACTTCCTGAAGCAGGACACCAGACACCCAGAGTCACTACGCTGCCACCAATTTTGTAACGTGAAGCGGTCACCCATCCAAGGGTTAAACAGGCTCGCCGTTGCTTAACTTGCCTGAAATAGAGGGAGACTCTACCGCATCACCAGAAAAGCTAGCTCACTGGCGAGGCAGTACAAGTTCCCTATATACTGTCCGCTACACCCGCGTATAAAAATGTTTCTCCTTTTGTGCAATTAATTGCAATCAAAGATCTAAAAGTATTGGGGCTATGTATAACAGTTAATCTGTGAGTAAGCAGCTACTTTAACAAAGAAAAGCAGTTTTGAGAATATTGAAATAATTGAACGCATTCATCTTAAATTTTTTAAATATATTTTTAATCTAAAAAGTAGTACTCCTAGTTATATGGTTTATGGCGAAACGGGTCGCTTCCCTTTGTATATAACAGTGTATTCAAGAATGATATCTTATTGGGCAAAATTATTGGTAAGCCCTGAAAATAAGATTGTTTATGTTACATATAGACATTTATTTGAACAGTTTTGTTCAGGATGGCATAAGAACCCTTGGATTTTATGTATTAAGAATATACTTGATAGTTGTGGCTTCTCAAATGTATGGAATGAACAGACCTTATTAAATATTAAATGGCTAAAAGCTATAGTTGAACAACGTCTTAAAGATCAGTACATACAGAAGTGGCGTAGTAATATGCACGATTCGTCTAAAGGTCTCACTTATAGTATCTTTAAAACAGAATTTGGATTTGAAAAATATTTAGCCTTACTACCAAAAAAATTTCGAACAATTTTAATTAAACTAAGAACAGCAAATCAACGTCTTCCAGTTGAGACTGGGAGATGGTTTGGAATTCCCAAAAATGATAGACTATGTAATATTTGTAATAATGGACAAATAGCTGATGAGTATCACTACTTTTTAGAATGTAAATATTTTTCCGAATATAGAAAAAAATTAGGGATGTCAAAATTGTCAATAATTGATATTCGAATATTCGATAGGAATATTCGAATATATTCGAATATTCGATAAAATAAATACATTTTCCATTATTAAATATAAATCTTCACTCTCCTGTCAAGCAGTATAGGTTTTATGCCATTATTTAGAATAAAATCTCGTGTTGAGTTCGGAAAATGCACTACAATTATATATATTTTGTAAAATTATTTAATTGTATACATCCAAAATGTAATGATTGATTTTTAAAAATTCAAAAGATTCCATGATATCTTCCAGATTAATTGATCGTCTTACTAAAGTCTACACTGATAACTCCTACAAATTTATACCAAGCAGAACAATTATCTAACGGTGAAATATTAAAAGCAATTACTTTTTGCTAATTATTATTTCCTGATAATGATTTTTAATGATATTTACATAAACAAAAAGTCTGTGTGTTTACTGTAAAACTGAGTACTTACAACAATACAAGCTGATTGTTAGTTCTGGAAACTATTATACCACTAATTAAGTGAACAAATAAATTAATTACTCTTAGGCTAATAGATACACTCTTCACACCTTTAAGGTAATCCAAGAGGAGTGTTTTTTTTTTTTTATTTTGTACAAACTTGATTCAATTTCTAATAAAACTTGCCTGGTTTTCTCTCTTTTTAATGCTTGCATACTGAAAAACGAATATTCGAATCTCAAATTTATATTCGAATATCAACTCATCGAATGAATATTCGAATATTCGTTGACATCCCTAAAAAAAATATCTTCCTAGTAAATATTGTAATAGACCAAATTTTTTCAAATTCTCAGAATTGTTGTCATCTGCTGACTACAAAGTATTAATTAAACTATGCAGTTACATAAATAGAGTATATGAAAAAGTCTGTCCTCCATAATTATTTATGTTACTTTATTTGAATGTATTTCCTCCATTTCACGTGCATCTTGTATTTTATTTTTTGTATATATTGTACATATATTGTTGAACCTCATGTACCATTGATATGGTTTGAGAGAATAAATTGAACTTGAACTTGAACTTGGTCAACAAGATAATTGATTGGTAATAATTGAGCACAATGCAAGGCAATCACACTTAGTCATGCCTCACCGTACTTCCAGCTATCCAAACAATAGAGATGCATTTTTTGGTTAAAAAGTGTCTATAAGAGGCAATGTTTTTACTATATATGCCCTAGGTTGTTTTTATCAATCCTTTTAAAAAATATATCAGCCATAATTTACATGCGACTTTTTGTCTGCTATTCATAAAACATAATCTTATTCCACAATAGCTAAATATAGCTATATTTTATAGGTAAATAAAGCTATATAGGTAAATTTACCTATATAGCTAAATAGAGTGATTTTCCTGGACCTGATAAAGCCATATAGCTTGATGAAGGTATCACAAATACCTTGATCAAGGTACATGTATTTTGTGTAATGAGAATACTACTGTCTCTCATGAAACTGTAGCTCTACTGGTTTGTATTTGTAACAAAGGAAGGGAAAAATATCCCTCACACTTGAAACTAGGATACAGCAATAAATACAGCCTTAAATCCGGATTTTCAAAGTAGGATAAGTAAAGGATTCAAATCATTTTGATCATATACTAAATCTCCTTTTTTTGCTATTTGCAGATGTTGGTGTCCCCAGCTGCAGGTGGTATTCGCTGCTTTATATTATCTCAGTTCCGTCATTTCTCCAAGTCAAGGCTGCCACTAATAACCACAGACCCATTCCACCCCAATATGAATGAAGTGATTGATGTTCGAACTCTGAAGGAATTCAAAGAAGACCACATTCCTGGAGCAGTAAATCTACCTGTTCTGAGTGACCTTGAGAGACACGAAGTCGGCAAGTTGTATTCACAGGATTCCTTTAAAGGACGGATTTATGGAGCTGAACTTGTGACCAAGAATATCAGTCAAATGATCCATGAATATCTGATAAAGAAACCAAAAGAGTACTCTCCCCTGATTTATTGTTGGAGAGGAGGTCAAAGGTCATATAGTGTTGCCGTGGTGATGGCACAGATTGGATTTGATGTGTATGTTTTAGAGAAGGGATATAAGACTTACAGAGAGAAGGTGAAAGAGTGCTTAAATGAGATGCCAGGCAAATTTACATACAAGGTTTTATCAGGTAGTTAATACAGCAATACACACATAAAGTCATTTTACAATTATGTAGAGATTTTGTTGTAGAATAAATGAATATTGTATTTGTTTGAAAGACATAGAAAATTATTACACTTCTTAATTCTAATTTTATACTAATACTAAATTAGTATTTCATAATATTATTTTATTCTTATTTTAGGACCAACTGGATCCGGAAAAACATTTCTCTTATCCAAGTTGTCTGCTTTTGGTGAACAGGTATTGGATCTAGAGGGCATTGCTAATCACAGGGGATCAGTTCTGGGGGCAGAAATTAATGGAACCCAACCTTCACAGAAATGGTTTGAATCCCAGATGATAGAAAAGCTCCGATCCTTTAATCCGGAGAAAGTTGTGTGGGTAGAGTCAGAGAGTGTTAGGATAGGCAATGTACACGTACCGCGAACTTTACACTCAGAGATGGGGAAAGCACAGCATTTTCGTATCAACCTCCCAATGGAAAAGAGAGTTCAACACATCCTAAAAGATTATCCAGACTATATTGAAAATTTTCAGTTTACAAAACAAAAACTTATGAAACTTAAAAGTTATCACAGTAATTCTAAACTTAGTGAATGGTTTTCACTCGGAGAGAGTGGTCAGTGGCCCCAGTTTGTGGAAGCTCTCCTGACAGAACATTACGATCCCAGCTATAGTTTATCACAGAGCAAGAACTTCAAATCTCCCGCCACTGATTTTTATCTAGACAGTCTTGATCCTGAGCATGTGCAGTTATTTCTTCAGACTTTGATCTCTGATCCAGCAGATGGCGCTCTGTCTGAGGTCAAGGATAAGATGTCTGCTTAAACACATGACCTCTTTTGATCAGTTCCACAGCAATGACTGCTATGTTCCTACAATCATCTGAAAGAAACAAATGAAATCAAATTACATAAAAATTTCTCTTTTTAGCTCACCTGAGCTCTGTAAACTTTTCACATTTTCGACTTCTTCTCAAGAACCGCTGGGCCAATTTCAACCAAACTTCCCACAAAGCATTCTTGGGTGAAGGGGATTCAAGTTTGTTCAAATGAAGGGCCACACCCTCATTCAAGGGGAGATAATTGGGAATAACTGAAAATTTTGTGGCATATTTTAAAAATCTTCTTCTCAAGAACCACTGTGCTTGGAAAGATGAAACTTAAGGAGAAACATCCTCAGGTAGTGTAGATTCAAGTTTGTTCAAATCATGACCCCCGGGGGTAGGGTGGGGCCAAAAAGGCCAATCAAAGTTTTACATAGAAATAAATAGGAAAATTCTTTAAAAATCTTCTTCTCAAGAATGACAAAGCCATAATTCATCATATTTATATGGAAGCATGCTCAGATAGTATATTTTCAAGTTTGTTCGAATCATGACCCCTGGGGGAAGGGCGGGGCCAAAATGGCCGACCAAAGTTTTACATAGAAATATATAAGAAAATTCTTTAAAAATCTTCTTCTCAAGAATGACCAAGCCATAATTCATCATATTTATATGGAAGCATGCTCAGGTAGTGTAAATTCAAGTTTATTCAAATCATGACCCCCCGGGGTGGGGGGGGGGGGTGGGCCAGAATGGCCGACCAAAGTTTTACATAGAAATATATAAGAAAATTCTTTAAAAATCTTGTTTTCAAGAATGACAAAGCCATAATTCATTATATTTATATGGAAGCATGCTCAGGTAGTGAAGATTCAAGTTTGTTCAAATCATGACCCCCGGGGGTAGGGGGGGGGGGGCTAGAATGGCCGACCAAAGTTTAACATAGAAATGTATAGGAAAATTCTTTAAAAATCTTCTTCTCAAGATTGTCAAAGCCATAATTCATTATATTTATATGGAAGCATGCTCAGGTAGTGAAGATTCAAGTTTGTTCAAATCATGACCCAAAGGGGTAGGGTGGGGCAAAAATGGCCGATCAAAGTTTTACATAGAAATATATAGAAAATTCTTTAAAAATCATTTTATAAAAAATAGCAAATCCATGATTGGTCATTGGACTTCTTTTGGATTCAAACTTTACAATAAAAACCATTTTTTACTTTTTCCTAGCCTTAGTGCTCAGGTGAGTGATGTGGCCCATGGGCCTCTTGTTTTCTTTTATTAACTGCACACATTACTGTCCATGGAGTGACTTAAGACTTATTTTCACTGATAATCATGCAGTCTGTTTTTCCTAAGTACTCTACATATTCAAAGTTCAGTTTTCTTAAGGGGCAATATCCCTCTGCTCCAAATTTCACGACTTATTTTTTAAAAATCCAGACATTGATTTTCAGCAACAACTATAGCATTAAATTCAAATGGAAAATAGTTTGAAGTATGAAGCGTTGCTTACTTTTTCAGAAATAAATAATATGTTAAATCAATAAGTTGATGTGAACAAAATTTGATGTGGTAAATAGAAAGATTAATTATTTTTTATCTCACAATTAAATTAGAAATATGAGGTATATTAAAAAATAATATTTACTCTCATACCTTTCTAATTCCCATTAGAAAACATACTGAAGCGCCGCTTTTTAAACCACAATTACAAATTGTTTTCTGTGCAAGTAAAATAACACGCATCCATAAACAAGAGTTATCGTTCCATTATCGCCCTTGAAAATATTTTTTAATGAAACAAAATATTAATTAAATGTTTATAAACAACAATGCATCTGAAATTTCTGTACAATTAAAAGAACTATACTTTAAGAGATAGAGATTTCTCAATTTACACTGTTTAAAGGAACAGAGTATAAATGTTTTAAGTAAATTATTATAAATAATTAATGTACATTCTAGCAATAGAAACTACCGTATATACTCGCCTATAAGTCTATCCGCCTATAAGGCGGTTGTATTTTTTGAGGCTCATTCAGAGGGATTTGCCATTGACCCGCTTATAAGTCGGTAAAATTTTTTGCCAGAATTGTTTTAGACATTTTACATCAATGCACTGTTGTTTATACCTGGTTTTAAATAATTTTCTTTCTCCAAATAACGCGGATATTTAATTTTGAATCATTAAACAAATACGAAATGCATCCTTAAGATAAAGACAAAACTATTAAAATAAGTAAATACTTGTATCTTATACATGTATAATCGTTGAATGGCTTTACATAAGTGAGAGCTTGTCCATCAATAAGTAATGGAAACATATATAAAATGCCACATTTCACTATCCATAAAAATACCAATGTCTATATGACTCGCCTATAAGTCAGACATGTAGTTTAGGACCAAAATTTAACTCCCAAAAAACCGACTTATAGGCGAGTATATACGGTATAAGTCAACATTTGTACCATAGAGTAAGTTTGATTGAGATGACTATATAATGGTTCCCAAGAATGAAAGTTGTGAAATCTGACATGACAATTCACTGAATTTCATGACAAAATGTCTGAAGAAAGTTATCTCTCTTATCAGAAGAGTTTTCTCTCTTATCAGAGGGATATTCCACCTTAAGTATTAAAACGCCATTACATGACACCTATAAAACGTTAAGTTACACATCTAACTGAAATCAGAGAATTATTCTATAGTTCTTTCTCTAAGTGTGATGTTGACATATCCTACATATCCCGCCATCTATATAGAAGCTCCAACTCTCATAACATGTCCATCATTCCATTGGTAAAATAGGAGGTAACATGACTGAAAGCCTGTAAATTACATGTGTTACATCAGTAAAAGCTTGTAAATTATGTGTATTACATCAATAAAGGCCTGTAAATTACATGTGTTACATCAGTAAAAGCCTGTAAATTACATGTGTTACTTCAGTTAAAGCCTGTAAATTACATGTGTTATATCAGTTAAAGCCTGTAAATTATGCGCATTACATCAGTAAAAGCCTGTAAAGAGCAATATATGATAAGCACCTCAAATGGCCCCTTAAAATGAATATATCTTAATTTTACTTTATATATAGTGTTAATTAATTTGCACGTCTATACATGTGACTTTTATTGGTAATTTTCAAAATTTGATAAAAATGCCACTAATTTAGAAATATTATGTCATAAAGTTCACATTTTTCCGCCAATTTAGCATATTTTGTATAAAACTGCTTATTTTCAAGCAGTTTTTCTTCAAGAAACTATTGAGCACAGACCAGAACAAACTTTATATTTTTATCAATGATGTATCCATCAAATACTAATTAGTGAAAGAAAAATTATGTATGTTCTACACTGCGCTCTATGTTTCCCATAAGAAAAAACATTAAGAAAAAGGCATAATTTTGAATTTTTTGGTTAGACAGCAAAAATACCATTATTTCTGATGTTCTTTACAGCCAGTGAGTGCAAATAAATGTGAAAAATATATTGGAAATAATTCTAATATATTATCTTCTACAAAATAAATACAAAATAAACATATCTGAGTATCACTCTAAAATGTTGATTTTTAAGGGGTCAAAATTGGCTCATAATATATACTGGTAGTCCTTTCAAGTGTTACATCAGTAAAGCCTGTAAATTACATGTGTTACATCAGTAAAGCCTGTAAATTACATGTGTTACATCAGTAAAAGCCTGTAAATTACATGAGTTACATCAGTGTATAAATTCAAGTGTTACATTAGTAAAAGCCTGGTAAATTACATGTGATAAATCAGTAAAAGTCTGTAATTTACATGTGTTAACTACATCAGTAAAAGCCTGTCAATTACATGTGTTACATCAGTAAAAGTCTTGTTACATGTGTAACATCAGTAAAAGACTGTTATGTACTTGTAGTACATCAGTTAAAGCCTGTCAATTACATGTGATAGATCAGTAAAAGTCTTTAAATTATGTGTATTACATCAGTAAAGGCCTGTAAATTACACGTGTTACATCAGAAAAAGCCTGTAAACTACATGTGTTATATCAGTAAAAGCCTGTATATAACGTGTTACATCAGTAAAAACCTATAAATTACATACATTACATCAGTAAAAGTCTCTAAATTACATGTGATATATCAGTAAAATCTTTGGAGTTATATGCATTACATCAGTAAAAGCCTATATATTACATGTGTTTTATTTTTAAAAGCATTTTAATTATATGTGTTGTTTCATTAAAAGCATTTGAATTACATGCAAAACCCTGTAAATTACATATGTTACATCAGTAAAAGCCTACAAATCACTTTTGTTTTATAAGTAAAAGCCTTTAACTTACATGTGATATATCAGTAAAAGCCTATAATTACATGCATTACATCAGTAAAAACCTACAAATCACATGTGTTATATTATTAAAAGCCTGTAACTAACATGTGTTACATCAGTAAATGCCTGTCAATTACATGTGTTACATCAGTAAAAGCCTGTCAATTTCATGTGGTAATCATTAAAAGTCTGTAAATTACAAGTGTTACATCAGTAAAGGCCTGTCTATTACATGTGTAACATCAGTAAAAGTTTGTAAATTACATTTGTTAAATCAGAAAAAGTGTGCATTACATGTGTTACATCAGTAAAAGCCTGAAAAATAACATGTGTTACATCAGTAAAAGCCTGTATATTACTTGTGTTACATCAGCAAAGGCCTGTCAATCATGTGATACATAAGTAAAAGTCTGTAAATTACATATGTTATTTGAGTAAAAGCCTGTCAATTACATGTGTAACATCAGTAAAAACCTGTTTCTTACATGTGTTACATCAGTAAAAGCCTGTAAATTACTCATGTTACATCCGTAATTACATGTGTTACATCAGTTAAAACCTGTGAATTACCATCGTCTGAAGCCACGGCCTGGATTTTGCATTAAGCTCCCTCCAATGATGGGAGAGGATCGTACATTTGGGCTGTGGTTTGCGACAGTGGTGAGTTACATGTGTTACATCAGTAAAAGCCTGTAAATTACATACATTACATCAGTAAAAGCCTGTAAATTACATGTGTTACATCAGTATGTAAACGGCATGTGCTATTTCAGTAAAAGCCTGTGAATTACATGTCTAACATCAGTAAAGCATGTTCATTACATGATTACTTGTGTTACATCAGAAAAAGCTTGTAAATTTCATGTTTTACATCAGTACAAAAATCAGTGGCATCATTGAAACGTCTTCTTCTAAAAAAAAAACCAGTCGGCCAAGAAAGATGAAACTCATGTGAATCATTGTCAGGTACTGTAAATTCAAGTTTGTTCAAATTATGACACCCCCACCTGAGTGCGGGACAGTTCGCCCCAGCCAGGGGTAAGGTAAGCTACAATGAGCGAAATCTTTTTCTCAAGAACAGCAAAGATGTGATTGGTAATATTTATAGGGAAGAATCTGCATTCATGCATGTACGTTAGTGTAGTCTACTTGTGTGCCAAGTTATATTGAAATCAGACAAAAACTGTAGGTGGAGTAGCGTTTTGAAAAAAAATGTTTACAATATGAAAACCATATGTCCTGATCAATAATCCAGATCGAAGTAAAAAAAAAACTATAAAGATTACATGATCAGTGCGCACTGGTCCCTGCTGACAAAGCAGCTAGGTACATATAACATTATTGTCTTCGTTTGTAAGGCTAATGATATGAATTGTATTTTAGAAGAACTTGGAATTAATTCTACAAGTATATATCCAACTTATACTAGTACTAATGGTTTCCTTTCTAAGGAAAAAAATCTTCAAAATCATATGACAGTTTTGAATACTTTTAATATCCCAAAGAACCAACATGATTTTAAACTACCATATATTAGTATATATTGGATTCCGAAACTTCATAAGAATTCTTACGAATAAAGATACATAGCTAGTTCCAGTAAATGTTCAATCAAGCCTCTTTCTTTAATCCTCACTAATATATTAACGGTAGTGAAGGCGAGACTTCAAGAGGACTGTGCAACAAAATATTAAAGAAGTGGTGTGAATCAGATGTTGATACTCAAAAATTCCAAAGAACTTTTGGACAATTTGAAATCACAAGATTTAACAAAAATCAACAGCTTATAAACTTACGACTTTTCAACTTTATACACAACCATTCCCAACGGCATTTTGACATCATTGAAAGTTGTGTTTTCAATAAAAATAAAACTCGTTTTACTTTCCTGGTCATTTGAAAATTAATTTTGTTAAAACACATTCTGTCAGCACACACAAGTACTCTGAAGTTGACATCAAAAAGATGCTTGAGTTTTGGACTGACAATATCTATGTGGTTTTTTGGAGACCAGGAATTCCGAAAATCTATTGCAATTCCCATGGGTACCAATTTTCTTAAGAAGAAATGTTGTTGAACAAATGAAACATATGGAGAAAACGAATAGTATTCTAGATCAAAAGTCCATAAAACAATACAAAATAGGAGCAGAGCGGACCCTCAAAACATCAGATATGGGAGCAGGTGCCATGGATGATGGAGGAGTGAACAATATCTGCCGACCGGGCACCCCCGCTGTGTGCTCCTTGTCATGATCAGGAAATAACGGAAAAATCCCTCAATTCAGTGTATCAATAATGGACTAACACTAAGTATGAAAAACGTCAATCAGCATTGGACTCAATGATGAATTGTATTAGCTGACATGATTAAAAAAAATAATTCATGAAAATAAATGCATGAGTCAGGAAAAATAAAACTTTTGTGGAATCATTGCCATGTAATGTAGATTTCTTATTTGCTTAAATCACTATCCCCAAAGGCAGGGTGGGACCACAAAATGCGATCAAAGTTTTACATAGCAATATATAAAAAAAAACCTTTAAAAATCTTCTCAAGAGGGGTTTATTCGAATCATGACCTCCAGGGGGTAAGGTGTGGCCGCAATGAAAGGTCAAACTTACGGTGAAAAAGTCACAGTCCAAAAAAATGTAAGCATCCTTTGTTAGTGTACTCTCAATTTTGATCATACGTATACCCCTTCTCCTTAATTGATCAGGACCACTTATACATTTAACCTTTTCAATACCCAACTGATTTTTGCTTTTCCCCTAGCCACAGTACTCAGGTGAGCGATCTGGACCCTTAGCCTCGTGTTTGTTTATATTGAATAATTGTTTGTGTGTGTGTTTGTGAGAGAGAGAGAGAGAGAGAGAGAGAGAGAGAGGGTGTGTGTGAGAGAAAGGGTGTGAGGGTGTGTGTGTGAGAAAGGGTGTGAGGGTGTGTGTGTGAGGGTGTGAGAGGTAGGGTGAGTGAGTGTGTGTGTGTGTGTGTGTGCGTGTGTGAGAGGGTGTGTGTGTGTGTGTGTATGAGGGTGTGTGAGGGAGGGTGTGTGTGTGTGTGTTGTGGTGTTTTTGTAACTGTACCATTTTTTTTGTAATCAGACCCAAAGTACACAAGGACTGGATTATTATTATTTTTTTAAATAACATTTTTTAGATGCCATGCACGATAACATTATACATGTAATTTTAAACAGAAAAAAAAATATAGGCCTTGGTGTAAGATACCTAATTTTGAGGGATGGAGGGGCCCACAAATTGAATTATGACTACAGCGAAATCAAACATAAAATACAAATCTATTTTTATAATGCTTTGTTCATTCATTGTTTTAAAAATATTAACCAGGGTTAAACAATTTATTGAATCAAATACTGGTATATATCATGGTAGATAGAATTCAAAATTTCAACACAGAACCAAGCCTCGGGGATTTTTTATTTGAATTTTTATTTTGTAAATTATCGTTCTAATACAATTTGTTCTACATGAAAAATCCCCAGATAAAGCAAAGTAAGTATTTAATAAACATAAGTAATAAGAGATTATATGTGTTCAAACCATTTGTATAGTATTTATACAATAAAATATGTTCAAATCAAGAGATTATTCAGAGCTCATGTCAATAAATGTTAAGGCAAAGTCACATACATGCATTAACCTAATAAGCTACTACATGAGCTCTGCATCCTTAGATGCAACATTTATGCCATTTTGTTCTGAAAGATATTACGGTTAATACTTAGAGGTGGACTTGATCTTACTTTAAACTACTCATTATATAGAAAATATGTTATTATTACTAGTGGTATAATGGTTATCAGTATGTTATCTGAGTAGCAAAGGAGGGCAAATTAATTATCAATTAATCTTTAGTATATGTCGTTATTTTTTAACGACAAATATTTATAACTACAATAATCATGGTCATATACAAACAACAAAAATAATAAAAAAAAAAAAAAACAAGATGTGTTTGTGAAACACTGATGCCCCCGTATGGCAACATTGTGAAGACTGAACATTTCTTAGATGCAAATTTAATATATTGGTACCCAAAGTAGGGTTTCCTAACTGGAAATACAATTGTAAAACATGAAAGCCCTATCACCATTTGTTCCCAAGTTATGGCAAGGCTAAGTTTTTTTCATAAGTACAAAAATCTTAAAGATCAAGGTCAGAAGGTCAGGGTTATTGGTATCCAATGTAGGATCTTTCTACAAAGATCACATGTTTGAGGTATAGAAACCCTAGTCCTAACCATTCAAAAGTTATGACCAAGGCTAAAAATATTATATTAGTAGGTTATACTCCAAGATCAATGTCAAAAGGTCAAGGTTTTGGGTATTGAATGAAAGGTCTTGTTACAAGAATTACATATATGAAGTATGAAAGCCCTAGCTCTTACTCTTCAAAAATTATTGCCAAGGTTAATGTTTTTTCATAAGTCCGGAAATATCCAAGGTCAAGTTTAAAAGGTCAAGGTTATTAGTATCCAATAAATGCCCTTGCTCCAAAAAATTTAAATGTGAAGAATGGAAGCTCTAGCCTTAACCGTTCAAAAGTTATGGCCAAGGTTAAGATTTTTTAAAAGTATGTCAAACTCTAAGGTCAAGGTCAAAGGGTCAAAGGTCTTGATATCAAATGAAAGTTCTTGTCACAAGGATTAAAAATATAAAGCATTAAAGCACTAGCTTTTACCCTTCAAAAGGTATGATCAATGTTTATTTTTTTTAAAGTAGGTCAAATTCCAAGGTCAAGGTCAAAGGTTAACGTTCTAAGTATCCAATAAAGTGTCTTCTTACAAGGATTACATATGTGAAGTATAAGAGCTCTAACCCTTACCGTTCAAAAGTTATTGCCAAGGTTAAAGTTTTTTCGTTATTACGTAAATCTCCAAGGTCAAGGTCAAAAGGTCAAAGTTGTTGGTATCCAGTAAAAGATCTTGCCACAAAGAATGTATATTTGAAGTATAAATGTCCTGGTATCTACTGTTCAAAAGTTATGGCCAAAGTAAAAATTTGAATTTTTTGTGTAAAAGTTGGTCAAATTCCAAGGTCAAGGTCAAAAGGTCAAATTTGGTGGTACCCAAAGAAAGGTCTTGTCACAAAGAATACACAAGTGAAATTTGAAAGTCACAGCTCTGCTAAATTAAAAGTTATGGACAAGGTTAAAGTTTTTGGGGACAAACAGACAAACAGAGAGACAGACAGACAGACGGACACGACAAAAACTATATACCCCCGAAACTTCGTTTACGGGGGCATAAAAACAAACAAAAACAAACAGTTCATAACGATATCCAATTAAGATATTACTGCATGATTGCACAAATATTTTATTTATAAACTGAAAGTACAATTAATATAGAGATTTTCCACTTCTAATTATAGATTTCAAAGTGAACAGGAATGTTATAATATTTAAAATGTCTTTGTACAAATGGCTGTAAGTAGAAAACCCAAACTTGTACATACACATATCTATATAACTATAATCATTACAGGCTACTTAATGTTTCTTTATATTCTAAAATTCTCTATAAATGTAAGTCAGATATGTTACAGTAAACGTGTTAATGATGAGCTGTATGATTTTGGTATAAATATATAATTACAAATTAAACTGATTAATTGTGAAATTAAAAATACATTTTTATATTCATTTTTAATGTTTTTGTCCAGGGACAGCGTTTATCAGAGTCTGTGTTTAAGGGACTGTGTGTCAAAGTGGGGTCCTTTCAAGAGGTGATCATGAGAAGAGAATTGATGGACTTCGGGGAACTGATAACAAATCAAGTAATAAACACAAGAGAAGAAGAAAGTATGATGATTAGTGGGAGTACCAGCGAAGGATTCAGGCTACAGGGGTCAGATTTGGACTTAATGTTTTGGCCAAATGACCACATCGCTATATGGGACCTAGATCAGGCTAAGAAATATGACTTAAATAGAAAAACACTGATTCTCTGTGATTGTTCCGATAGCCCACCAGGATTTGTTTTACTCGAATTACTGACATCAACACACAAGGAAAGTGTAATGAATGCATGTATGAAAATAAATGACAGACTCTACATATCCAGTTCCAGATATAGAGAGATCACATGTTCAGAAGTTATACCTAATTCTACGGAACATGGTCCCTGTGGTAGTGGTGTTATGGTAGGAACAGAGTATGACTATGCCCATTGTTTTGTCTGTGATTTTTGGCCCCATCCTGCCTCCAAATGGATAGACAGGTGTCACTCATGGCCACCGCCTTTTATTGTTGATGATATAGTCAGAAATGGATGTCACTTTGTAGCAATAGGACACAAATTAGGAAAACACACAGACAAAGAATGGAGAATGTCATTCTCTTTGGCAGAAAAAAAATTGTATATTCAATGAACCATTGCCAATTCTTAACCTATGGGTTACTTAAACTGTTCTTAAAAGAGTCTATTAATGATGGATTAAGGGATAAAGATAAATTGCTTTGTTCCTATCACATGAAGACAGCAGTTTTCTGGGTGGTACAACAAAACATAATACCTAATTGGTGTCCTCAAAATCTCCTAGGGTGTTTCTGGGTATGCTTTAAACTTATACTTAAATGGGTGTATGAGGGGATATGTCCAAACTTCTTTATTCCAGAAAACAACATGTTTCTGAGTGGTATTTATGGTGAAGCACAAAGCAAATTATTTCTTAGGCTTTATGATTTGTATGAGAAGGGTTTAGTATCACTGCTTCATTGTCCATCAATCGGGTCTAGTGTTTCAATTGTCGTTCAAAATCCCAGACAATCTGTTGATACAGATAAAAACATGCTGATTTCCAGGATTTTGTTTGAATTAAATCTATTTCGGGAGATGTATCTCACTGATCTACCAGTAGATACTATTCACTCATGCATTAGGTTCTTTAGTGCTGTAGAAAAGTTTATATTTTTACCCCTGGCCCAGTACCAGGTTCTCATGTTACGGAGGTTTACATCACATGTACTCCAGAACATTGCTTTTGCGTCATTAAATGTATATACTAGCTCAGCAGTGAACAAACATGTGTATATGGCTAACAAAACATTCAGTTATATGCTGAAATTAGCAGCCAAGTTTGGGTGTACTTCTGATATGTTGTTTATTGCAATGTTTTACTACAAGGCACTTAGATACAAGGAAGCTTTATCAGTTCTAGAAATGACAAATGTTAAATTAGCACGGCCCTATGTATTATATCTCAACAATTTAACTAAAAATGCAGTATGGTCCATGTATAGTAAGTCCATAAGGGAACGGTCCTGGTCTACAAAGATGAGACATGCTGTAGCATGGGATATTTCTATTGAAAATAAAATCTGTTACATCAATGAATTAGTGCCAGAACAACAGTCTGGGTTACAGTCTGGACACCCTGTGTTATATATCCCACTCTTTGTTTTGATACACATGTTAGAGGTCTTGTGTTACAGACATGTAGACCCAGTGAGAGCTCAAACATCTCTTAATGACCTACAGGACCTGGTCCACAATGATCAGAGGGAGTATACAGATGTACATCAAAGAGACATATCTTGGGAGATTTTAGGAATCCGTCAACAGGTGACAGGGAACTATCAAGCTGCTCTATACTCCTACCAACAATCTCTCAGATATACATCACAAAACATACAAAATGCTACATTGATGAGGATACAAGAAATAAAGGACCTCGAGCACAGAAATAATTAATAATCATGATAATATACCCTGATTGTTAGAGTTCAGAACTTCAGAGGTAAGAAAGACTCCCCACCCCTCTCACTTTCTACCTTAAAATTTCTTTACGTTTTTTTTTTATTCTTAGCATGATATTAAAATTTGGTTTTGTTTATTGTAATATTACCCTTAATTTTAAAAGAAAAATTGAAATTTTTGGTTTCTACGACAATATTGTATGTACATATATAGAAATCCTTATAATGCTTTTGTATATATGTATTAAGTTTGTTATTTGTAAATAAAGTTTGTAAAGTAATGATATATATCAGTAAAATCAGGTATACTGTAGATTGGTAAATAATCACGAAAATTTTAATTTCACAATGTTCACGATTCAGCCTGTGAAGTTTTAACCTATCCTGAATGCTATCCTTAATTTTTTAAAACGTTTAAATGCTCATACGACATTTAAATTGATATCTTGCAACATGAAATTAAAACCATTGCTATTGGTACTTTATGAGAAATTGTGAAAATTTAAAACCATAATATTAAGGTTTCGTCAAAGGTCAACATGTCCAAAAATTTATTTTTACAATAGCCCCAAAACTATGTAAGGTATAAAGTTAAAACTTTTACAGTTTATAAATTATTTATTGATTAACAGATAGAAAGTATCACTTGATAAAAAAAATACTTGGAATAATATTAATTGAGAAAAATTCTTCTAAAAATTGCATATATTTTTAAAAAAATACACCTAATTAGTTCCGTGTTTTTAGTGAAAACCATCATTGTAGAAACAAAATATGTTTATCAATGAAGGGCAAGTTGGACTTGGATAGCCTCTGAAAGTTGTTTTCCCTGTTTATTTTGTCCAAATGTTAAGACTTGAAAGTGAAAGTACACTGCAAATGGCGGACGGGCTTATAGACTCTCCCGGATTTTATAGGGGTCTTGTCTTTATACATGTCATGTTTTCAATAACAGCCTTTCAGAGACCATTCACGTCCAATTTGCCCTTCAATGATAAACATATATTATTTCTACAATGTTGGTTTTCACAAAAAGGACAGAATTAAGCAGGTGCATTTTTTAAAAATATGCACATTTTCTGATACAATTTTTCTCAAAAAATATCTTTTTAAAAATATTTGTTATCAAGTAATACTTTCTATCTATTAATCAGTGATATATTTACAAAATGTTAACGTTTTGACTTCATACCACACATAGTTTTGGAGCAATTGTAAAAATAATTTTTTAGACATGTTGACCTTTGACGAAACCTTAAAAGAACGTAAATTAAAAGATCTCCCTTATGGCTTTCATTTCCTTTCATCTCACGGATGATAAAAAATTTAAAGAACAAAACAAGAGGCACATTGTCCACATCGCTCAGCTGAGTAACTTTCGCCATGTTGTTTTTGAACAGATTTCCCCCTTGTAATACCGATTATGGCCCCGCCCTATCCTAAAGGGTCATGATTTAGACAATTTAGAATCTACACTATCCCGGGGTGCTTTTACACAAGGTTCATCTTTTCGGACCCAGTGGTTCTTGGGGAGATTTTTTAAAAAAAATTTATATATATTTCAATGTGAAACTTGCATTCCCTATTGTGGCCCTATATATATATATATATATATATATATATATATATATATATATATATATATATATATATATATATATATATATATATATATATATATATATATATATTTCAAAGTAAAATTTAGATTCCCTATTGTCGCTCCACCATACCCCCGGGGTTTAGAATTTTCTTGATAAATTCCCCTTGAAAGGAGACCTGGCCATTCATTTTACAACAATGCGCAAATTCATAAATCCCGCTAAGAAATCATTTACATATACAATATACTGCACAGACATGTGTAGCGCTAATTTATGATTACGCCAACAACTTCATGCTCAGTGATTGTGCTAAATTTTGAATACGCCAAAAATACAAGTACAGTATATAGTCCTGTGAAAATATTTTATCATACTGTTGAATTTTGTTTTCATTTCGTTCAATTTAAAATCTGGCAAGATCTTTATCGAAGAGTGGTTATATTTTCTTTTCATCGGTATTGCTGAGTACTAGATACATTGTGCTATTGATAAAAAGTTAATTAATTTAATTCGGTTCACACGTATTGAAAATATGTTTGAGACGGCCAAATTCCCAGTTTCTCTTATAGCGCTGGTATTGATGTTTTCCTGGAACGTAAAATATAAAACTTTTGAGAAAAAGTCTAGAAATAGTAGGATATCTTGGACTTAGGCTCACGCTTACGCCAGAAATCGCAATTTTAGCAAACTTTAATCTACTACGACTACCTAAGAATGCTCTGAAATAAATCTTACCAAGGCGTTGATGTTCTTAAGATCGATTGATTGATTGTATGTTATTTAAAGTCCCTCTCGAAAAGTTTTCACTCATATAGAGACGTCACCACTTGCCCGTGGAGAGCTATAAATTTTTGTCCGATACTCGGCAATCAGGGCAATTGAGCAGGGAGGGGTCTTTTTCGTGCCAGCACCTACTGCAACACAGGACCTCTGTTTATGATCTCATCCGAAGGACCGATTTGCACGTCCCACAGTGGGGTTCGAACCTGCGACGTAAGGATTGACTCCTTTATAACTTCGCGACTCTCGAGCAGACGCTCTTACCACTGCACCACGCGAGTGACGATGTTCTTAAGAAGAAAATTTTATTATATTTACAATATATTTCTATGTTAAATTTGATTGCATATTAGAGCCCCATCCCACCCCTGAGGTCATGATTTGAACTAATTTTAATCTACACTAACTGAGAATAGAATGCTTTTTACTTTAAATATCATGTCCAGTCATGGTGTTGCTATTCTCGAGGAGAAGATTTTAAAAGATATTTTCCAATGTATTTCTATTGTAAACTTTGATCACCAGTTGTGTCCCCACTCTATCCTTGGTTGTTCAAAATAGGCCTCATAGTTTCCTAATTAGTAATGGATCTGCTCCACAAACCTTCTACCTGGTCACTCTTCTAGAAATGCATTTCAGATTCAGCATCCAAAGAAAGCCTGGTAATGTGCATCCTTATATGTATCATCCTTACAAGCGAGGACAAATCAGAACTTTAAGTTCCTTGAAAATGAGCCTTGCTTCAAAAAAATTGACTTTAAATTTCAAATTGTTTCAAAAATAGTAATCTGATCATAGCTAAAATTACAGCATCTGAAACCTTGACTGGTACAACGAATCGCACTAGAAGCATCATTCATGCATGTCTGATCAATGTAGGGCATATAAGAAACACTTAATTAGAAAACTGCACCAAAAACCTCAACCTGCCGACATCACCGCCGAGGGTATTACGTAAGTTCTCCATCAACGTCGTTGAGGTGAGCAAATAATAAATGTATTTCACAATTATTTAGAGATTTTGTCGTAGACTTAACTTAATATTGCATTAGTTGTTTGAAAATCATAAACAATTATAACAACTTCTTTATTTTTAATTTTTTTTTTATTTCCCACTGTTGGTCATGGAGATCATATAAACCTAGTTCTCTTGTCGCAGTAGGTGCTGGACTGAAAAAGTTCCCTCCTTGCTCAATGGCCATAAGTGCCGAGTGCAGCTCTCCACAGGCAAGTGGTGACTTCTCGAAAGGTACGTTAAACAACATACAATAAATCAATTCAAGATTTAGCATTTTAGCATATTTATTATTATTTTTTTTAGGTTCAAATAGCTCTTGGAAAAAAAAACTTTTATCTTATTCTTTGTTGTCTGCTCTTGGTGAACAGGTGTTGGAACTAGAGGGCATTGCTTATCACAGGGGATCCGTTCTGGGGGCGGAAATTAATGGATCCCAACCCTCACAGAAATGGTTTGAAGAAAAGCTCCGATCCTTTACTCCGGAGAAAGTAGTGTGGTTAGAGTCAGAGAGTGTTCGTATAGGCAATGTACATGTACCACGAACTTTACACTCAGAGATGAGGAAAGCACAGCATTATCGTATTTACCTTCCAATGGAAAATAGAGTACAACACATCTTGAAAAATTATTCAGACTAAATTGAACATTTTTTGTTTACAAAACAAAATCTCATGAAACTTAAAAGTTGTCACAGAAATTCTAAACTTAGTGAATGGTTTTCACTAGGAGAGAGCGGCCAGTGGTCTCAGTTTGTAGAAGCTCTCCTAACAGAACATTATGATCCCAGCTATAGTTTATCACAGAGTAAGAACTTCAAATACCCCGCCACTGAGGTCAAGGAAAAGATGTCTGCTTAAACACGTGACCTCTTTTGATCAGCTCCACAGCAATGGCTGCTATGTTCCTACAATCATCTGAAAGAAACAAATGAATAGAATTATGTTTAAAATTCATTTTTTTATCATTACTGTCCATGGAAAGACATAAGACTTATTTTCACCGATAATCAGTTTCTTTTTCCTGTATACTGTATGTTCAGAACCAAAGTTTTATTGTTAAGTATTTTAGCACATTAATTTATATTACAGTGTATCTATAAAACACAAGGTGACACATCTAACTGATCTAAGTGTTAAAATAAACATGTATTAGAATCTTCCAGTTCTTTCTCTAAGTGTGATGTTGACGTATCCTATACCTATCCCGCTGTGTTGGCGCCCTCTATGTGGAAGCTCCAATTCTCGTAACATGTCCATCATTCCTCTAGGATAATGGGAAGTTACATCACTGAAAGCCTGTAAATCACGTGTTACATAAGTAAAAACAGCATGGTACAAACATAATTACAGGAGGCTTAATGAACCAACTGAGCACTGTGGCAAGGAAAAAAACCAAATTCAGTTTAGTTTTGAAAAACTTAAATGTGTAAGTGTTTCTGATCGACCTACCCCTAATTGGGAGAAGGACAATAATTTGAACAAAACTTAATCTACACTAACTAAGGATGCCTACATAATTTATAATTTTTGACTGACATTAATTGTGAGTTTTTGCCTACAAATATGAACTTTTATTGTGGCCTCACCTTATCCCCGGGGATCATGATTTGAAAAAATATGAATCTACACTATCTGAGGATGCTTTCTCATAAATATATTTGAAATCATAGCTTTGCTGTTCTTCAGAAGATTTTTGAAGATAGTTTCTATGTTACTCCTACATTAAACTTTGATCGACCACTGTGCCCCCCCCCCCGGGGTCATGATTTGAACAAACTTGAATCTACACTAACTGAGGATGCTTCCATATTAATATAACCCATCATACGTTTGCTGTTCTTAAGAAAAAAATATTTTTTAAAGATTTTTACTATATATTCTTATATGTAAAACTTTTATTGTTTATTGTGGCCCTATCCTATCCATAAGGGTCATTATTTGAATAAAATTGAAATCCTGACAATACCTGACAATGATTCCTTTTGAGTTTTATCTTTCCTGTCCTTTTGTTTCTCAAAAAGCAGAATTTTCAATGATGCCATTAATTTTACATTTTCATAATTATCTCCCCTTGGAGGAGGTTGTGGCTCTTCATAAGAATCCTTACAAAGATACATTGCGGGTTCAAATAAATGTTCAACAAAGCATTTTTCCTTACTCCTCACTAAGGTATTGACTGTAGTGAAGGAAAAACTTCCAAGAATACTGTGCAACCATATATTTCTGATTGACAATATCTATGTGATTTTTGGAGACCACGTCTTCCAACAATCTATTAGAATTCCCATGGGAACCAATTGCGCTCCGTTATTAGCAGACCTATTTTTGCATTCATATGAAGCAGAATTTATGCAAAATCTTACTCGTGAAAAGAAGGAAACACTTGTTGTGGCCTTCAACTAGACCTTCAGATATATCGACGACGTATTGTCAATTAATAATGGTTATTTCCATTCCTATCCTATTCCTATGATATATCCAGCAGAGCTTGAGATAAAAGAACAACAGTGTCTGACACATCTGTTTCATACATGGATATTTTACTTGAAAAACACGTCAATGGTAACCTAACAACCAAGTTATATATGATAAACGTAACGACTTTAACTTTTCTATCTTCAACTTCCCTTACTTATGCAGCAATATACCTTCATCACCTGCATACGGAGTATATATATCTCAGTTGATTCTATACGCAAGAGCATGCTCTACGTATGAAAAATTTCTAAAACAAGGTAAATTACTGACAAGCAAGTTGATGAAACAAGCATACCAGCAGTCTCGTTTAAAGTCATCATTTTGTATGTTCTATGGTCGATACAATGACCTTGTCAGCAAATACAATTTATCATGGAGTCAAATGCTGACTGACGTTTTTCATACCAATTGTTAATCCATTATTTATACACTGAATTGACGACGGACTTTCCAGTTATTTCCTGATCATGACAATGAGCACACGGCGGGTGTGACAGGTCAGCAGGGGACGCTCACTCCTTTACGGCACCTGATCCCACTTCTGATGTTTCGGAAGTCCGTGTTTGCTCTGCTTTTGTTTTGTATTATTTTATGGACTTTGAGATTGAATACTGTTCATTATCTCCATATCCTTCTTAAACAAATTTAAATCAGCAAAATTCAGTTTTGTATTGAAAAGCTGAAATGCATAATAACAGTAGGTCCTGACCTACCCCTAAAATGGACAGCGGTTTGATTTATACAAAATATAATGTTGCATCAAAGGATGCACAGCACGTATACTAGAATTCTAGCTTATGTACATGTATGTGACTTTGCCTTAACATTTATTGAGGTGAGCTCTGTAATTGTCGTTGTTGTTATTATTACAAAAATGACGTTGTAAACTTTTCACAATTTCATCTCCAGAACTACTGGGCCAATTTCAACCAAACTTGGCACATAGTATCTTTGGGTGATGTTTAAATAAAGGGCCATAACATAGCAATATATCAGGGAAATATTCAAAAATATTCTTTTCAAGAACCGCAAAATATTAAAGGCATCATTAAAAAAAATCTCAAAAATCAATGGGCCAGGAAAGATGAAACTGATGTGGAATCATTGTCAGGTAGTATAGATGAAGTTGTTCAAGGAAGGATATGGGGATAAAGAACATTATTCAAACTCAAGAGTCTATAAAACAATACAAATATTAGGTACATGGCAAACACGGACCTCCGAAACATCAGAGGTGGGATCAGATCATGACCTCCAGGGTGAAGTTGCAATGAAAGGTCAAGCGTGTAGGGAAAAAGTTAAAAAGTAAGTTTAAGCATCATTAGTTGGTGTACATTCAATTCAATGTTCAAATTACGCCCCCTTTCCCATCCAGGGATAGGTTTGGGACCACCTACGTATTTAAGCTTTTCAAAACTAACTAGTTTTTGCTTTTAATTTCCATAGTGCTCAGGTGAACGATGTGGCCTCTGGGCCATTTGTTTGTATTGGAAATTTTGGAAAGCATTGGAAAATTATGTTTCTTTTTTAAACTTTACTAAACTAAAGGACCAGAAGTACACAAAGAAAAGATTGTTTATTTACTTTTAAAAATATATTATATTATTGTAAAATCAAATATTTTCAACGGGTCAAATTTAATGTTTGAGGGGAAAAAGATGTCTGTGTGGATTTTAGCTAATTATGTAATGCTCATGAAAATTTTACATTTAGTGGCGGTTAGAAATTCGTGGGTCTGTCGAATCATGAATGCAATAATATAGCCCTCTCCCCCCATTTTTCAGATAAAACAATAAAGTGATTCTTTTTTTAAGATGCCATTATGATAGCAACATTATTCATTACAATCTAAACTGAAAATAAACGTCATAGGCCTTTGTATAATCTATGTGTATACCAAATTTTAATGATTTTAGAACAAACCTATTTTTTATAAAGCTTTTTTCAATCATTGTTTTAAAAAGAGCACCCAGGGCAAAACAATTAATTTAATGAATCAAATACTGGTATGTATCTTGGTAGAAAGAACACTAAAGCCCCATACAGAACAATGCAGGTCCCAGGAACTTCTCATTTGATTTTTTTTTTTTTTTTGTAATTTGTTCTTCTGTCAGATTTTTACAATTGTTCTACATATGAAAAGTAAAGTACGATACGGATTTGATAAACACTGAGCTTTATGTAATTTTGTTCTGAAAGGGCTTCCAAGCAGTGTATTCTTAGGGATGGACTTGTTCTTACTATTGTTATTAATAGTACATATGATGTTTACAATATGTTTATCTGGGTATCACTTTGAAAGGAGGAAAAATTAATTAATCTTTACTATAAATGTTTTAGATTTTTAAACATCATAACATACATATGTACTATTCTCGCAAGGTGGTAATGAAAAAAGCAAAAAACAAAAGAAACAAACAAACAAGTGCAAGCTTAAGAAATCTAATATTTCATATAGATATACAATAAACATATCACTGCATGATTGCACAAATATTTTGTATACATCTTATGTTTTGGAGGTTTGTGTTTGCTCTACTTCTATTTTGTATTGTTTTTTAGACTTCGGACCTTGATTGAATATTCGTTATCTCTTTATATTATACTTTCATGTTACGGAGGTTTACAGCCACTGTACTCCAGAATACTGCTTTTATGTTATACAAGCTTTTCGCCATTTTTGCACCGTTCTGTCTGAGTTCAGCATTTCAGTACTTTTCTTTTAGAAGAGTAAGAATTACTCGTACACGCACACCATTCACTTTCCAACTTAAAATTTCTTTACCGGTATTTTATATTAATATCTAGTATATGATATTAAAATGTGACATTGTTTATTATCCTTTTAATGGAGAATTTTTTGCTATCTATGACAATCTTATCTGTACATATAATGAAATCCTTTACATGGTTTTTTTTTTTTTGTTAATTATTTTTTTTTGTTATTTGTAAATAAAGTTTGTGAAGCATTAATGATTTATATCAGTAAACTCATGTATATTGTAGATTGGTAAATAATTATTATGGTTTTAATTTCATAATGTTCGTGATTCGATCAATATATTT